AGTTTTTGTGCCGTGCCGTGAAAGCCAATTTGATAACTTTGCTAGGCTCGACCCATGCCCGAGCACGGTTCGAATCGTGTCGTGCCTATTCGTGCTTGTGCCATGCTCGTATTAGTGTCTAATGAAAAGGAAGAAAATATAAGAGAGAATGAAAAAGAAAGTGAAAATTGATGAAGAAAGATAATATTAACAGAAAATGTTTGAGAAAAGTAACAAATAAGGAGAAAAAGAAAATTGGAAGTATAGCGGGTGTGATTTGGCTTTGTTTAATTTTTCGTCTATTTTTACTTGTGGTAGTAATTACGTATATATATCTTTATGACACTTCTAACAACAACAAATAATTAGTTTTCTACTTGTATTTTGTAATATTTGAACCTATAATTCTTTCTATATCTATTTTTTATCAAATAAATGTTATTTTTGTGTCTTATCCGTTCTTATACTCAATAAAATCTAAAAAATATTAGGCCCAACATGACCCATTTATATACCTTGACGTGCCTGTGCCATGAAGTTTAGGCCCGACCGTACCGTGCTAGCCCGTGGGCGGCCCAGCCTGGTGCCCATGTACAGTCACTACTTAGGGGTCGTTTGAAAGTTGGGATTTCAGATGATGTATTTGGCCAATACATGTAATCAGAAGAATTCGTCGTTTTTTTGTCTTAAAAAGAAACAAAATACTTGTATTTGAACAAGAGATGGGACCACTAGAATCATTCATTATGAATGATTGTAAATCTCAACTTTTAGCAGAGATTGTGTTTGAGGCATTGTTAGCTTACTTTTTCTTCTTTATTGTAACACCCTACCCTATACGTTTTGCGTAATCATATTGTTCATACAATTGCAGCGGAATTAATCTCGGGTGTTACATTAATTATCAAAATTTACCCAAATAAAATTTTGACATGAATTACTCGCGTAATGGGCTAACAGTACTTGCAACTTATCCTGCAAAATAATTCATCACAAACATATAAACTCACAACCATATGCATTGGCTTTTCATAGCCATAGTCACAGTTTCATACTCCACAACTGCATACCTTACTAATACATGTCATAGTCGTCACAACTTACACAACCGTACAAATATATACATATCAACTTTCCACACCTGTGGATATCTCACACTACATCAGAAGCTAGTATGCACATGAAAAGTGTTTTCAAAACATTTTTTACAAAAGGTGTGGATCACTAGCCAAAATCCCGAGTAGTCATCCAAGCACAGTATAGTTGAAGACCATACCTCATCCTGGCTTTGACTCTAGCTCCTCTCCCACCTAACACTTATCTACTGTTGCTGCTGATGATTTGCTTACACATAGCATAAGCAGAGAAGAAGAATAAAAGGGGGGTCAACTCATAGCTGAGTGAGATAATCGTAGCATCGTGAGTTCATAACAGAGCATACCCCTATCATACATCTAACAATCAAGCCAAAACACTAGGATCAGACCTCAGCCATCCTCATATCCCAATAGGAAAAAGACTCAACCAACTTAACTTATGCATATGCATCTTATCATATTTTAATCATAGGTGCCTGGCTACTCCCATGCTAATTACTCTCCCGGGAATACGGACCAAACATCTCGTGGATGTGGTCATATCGGACCCACCACTGCCGGTGTAGTCATATCGGACCTGACACCACTCTGGCTGTGGTCATATCGGACTCAACACCACTCTGGGTGTGGTCATATCGGACTCAACGCCACTCTGGGTGTGGTCATATCTCATGATGAATCAACGGTCAACACCACATCAGGGGTGTGACATAACATATCATAACGGAGTAATAGCATGGGGAGCCCTAATTACTATGTAATTGACCATGAGACCAAATCACTCTTATTTGGTAATCTTACACATGATCCATATCTCATCTTGCTTAATCATAATTCGTTACTTGCACATGAACTTGACCTGGCCATAATTGGCTCAACATAGGTAAATCAGGAGTCGTATAATTGCACTTCCTCGGGATAAACCCTCGTGCAAGTCATCCTTCTTAAACATCATAATATCACCCTGGGAAGTTTATTTCCCCCACTTGTGAATCCAAATACAACCACAATATCACATCATGTCAAAACACCTGATTGAACAACCATGAAGTAATATCAACGATTAAGCCACAAATGGCAACATGTATGCAATTATCAACATAAACAAGGTCCATATCGGATAGGGCAAGTCAATAATATCATACAACAATCCATGGTTCATCATATAGCATAAAAGTCCATACACCCTTAATCATTCCATTCTAATTCACCTAGGTCAATTCTAAGCATCAATATAATTATCGTGATACGACAAACCCGGTATGCCGTGCTAATCCCTCACCAGTTCTGGTCTTTCAAACACCGATTTTAGCTTCTCGTACTAAAACGTCAATTTCACGAACGAACTCCGAATTAAAATCCGAGACCGTCCTAATATCCCCTGCAGTATCCCCGTCAATATTAGTTCTAGGCTCCGGGTCTAATTCTTGATAAAAACACATCAAACCCTGGCCGGAGCTAAATTCAGTGATCTCGGCTCCGACCTAAATAATAGCCGAAATTCATGGATTAAAATTAGAGGATCGATTACCTTGCTGTAGGAAGCTCGTATATGAAATTTGGGCTCAATCCGGCTTCCAGATACTCCGAAACCCTAATTTGGCTTATCGGGAATTCAAGAAATTCCTGAACCAAAAACTCGTTTTAAAGTTCTAAATCGGTAAACCACGATGTATAGATGAATTAGGCATTACTAACGGAATTTTTGGATCACTTATGCTCAAGAATTAAGCTCTGAGATTTTACCCTCGCGTTGCTTCGCTGAAGCTCTGCTTCTCTCGGTCAGTAAATATAAATGAAAGAACAGAATGAAATGGATAGATAGGGAAAGAATGGCCGGGAGAGGGGGGAATTATATATATATGCGGCCCCGATAATTAATCAATATACTTATTCGATCGATCGATAATCCGATATTCTTCGAAATACTATCAAAATGTTCGATTTTAAATCGTGAAATTTTCTAGTGACAATAATACGATTTTAGCTGAAACGGAATGTTACATTTATTCTTTGAGAGACCACCAAAATCATTCAATCTCTAAACAATGTATTTTTCAAATTTATACATTGAAACAATACATCTACTTATAATACGTACATTGATTAAATATAGAGAATCCCAACTTCCAAACATGCTCTTAGTTGTCCTACTAACCACACCCAAAACGACACGCACTGGGAATCAATCAATCTCCCTAGCCTCCTGCCCGAGTCGGCGGCGAGTCGTAGAACTTGCTGGAGCCCACCAACGTAACCGGGCGTTGCCCTGCGCTCCACGTGTCTCCCTTCCCAGACTCCCAGAAGCTAGCCTGCCGGACGCGTGGGCACTTCTTCCCTTCGCTGGCGTCTCGACACGTGCCCGCCAGTCCCGGCTCCAACTTGCTGTTTTCTTTCTGAAAAAGAAAATAATAAATAGAGCACTTTCAAAACAGACAGACAGCTTTATTTATTTTTTGCTTCGGAACAAAAAACCAAAAAGAGACAAAGTTGGTGTCAGTCATACCCACGTGTCACACTGCTGCCTCTCATGATCGCCACTTGGTTGGCTCTTTCAGATAGCACTCTCCCCTTTTTCATTTATCCAACAACAATATCAGGGGCATTTTCGTCCCGCCACATCTTCCCTTCTTTTTTGATTGGTACTAGAATCATTATAGCTAACAACTAAAGTTTCCAACTTTCTTTCTCTGAAAAAAAATAAATAAATAACTGAAGTTTCTAAATTGCATGCCCAAGTAGTTCTTCTAATCAAATAATATTGATCGATATGACTGATGTGCGTTGATGTCAATGGAGTACTTTATTTAGTTGTATATACTAAAATGTGCACATAAATATTAATATATTGTAATTTATGTTCATTATTTATGTATTTTGATAGAATTTATTCGAGTAATTAAATATGAGGAAATAAATAAGTATGAGTGGTATTGTTTTCTCCTCAAACAAACTAAAAGTTACAATTTTTCATTGGATTTTTTTTATTACTCATGAATCCTTAGTGGCACGTGCCACTTTTGACAGTGGAGCCTACTAAATTTAGGTTTTTGTAATCAATGTTGACGTCAATGAGGCTTCGTCCCCAACAAACTTATACCACCAGGAACACTAACAGACCTCACTTGAATCAAATCTGAAATATACAACTCTCGAACCGACAATTATACTATGAGGCTATCTTATCTTTAATTCCATTGGATTAAATTTAAGATTGATTACAAGGTAAAGAAAGTCTTTGGAGCAATTACTAATTATTTTATTGCCCTTATCTTATGTTTTTATACTTTTTCACAAAAAATAAATTAAATCCATTAAAAAAAAGGAAAGGGAGAAGAAGAAGAAAAAACTTTCCCTTTCACCCTCTCTGTTTCTCACTTTCTATGTCTCTGCCCTTTCTGCTTCTTTTTTCCTTTTCACTTCTTCCGTCACTGCCGATTCCTCTCTCCGGTTTGCGCTCTGTCTCTCTCCGTTTCCAGTTTTTCTTTTGGGTTCTTTGTTCCTTCCTTCTCCCCTATTGTTCTTTTCCGTCCGTTAAGCCACCAATTCTCTTGACAAAAATTGAACTGTATAGATATAAACCCAGAAAGCGTTTCTTCCCTCTCCCTTACTCATCTATTTTCTGTGTTTCACTCCTCCGTTAGGGTTCTTGCTTCCAATCGCTAACGCTCTTTCGTTTTCTCCAATTAGGTCGATGGGTAGTTCGTTAGATTTCTTTCCAGCAGACCAATATAGGCGAGAGCTTTGAGCTGGGGGAGAGATGGGTTTTTGTGAATCGGATCAAATAGTACTACTGCTGCTGCTTCATGCTCTGTTTCTTAGCCCAATCGACATCTTATAATCCCGTTTCTCTGTTTCCCCTGTTTCTCCACTCTCTGTCCCCCTTTCCCTTTCAATTGAAACCATTAGATAGCTTTACTTCCCATGGGGGAAGCAGAAGGAGCCGTGAACAGAACCAGCGGTGGAAGCAGCAGCAGTAGCAGCAGAGCAATGGAGAGTCTTTCCTTGGAGATAAACAGGTACCCGAGGGATCTACTGACGAGATTCATGTCCAGCGAGGGTCACGGCGGGCGGAAGCGCAGAGCTTTAACCAGGGAAGAGGAAGAAGAAGATGAAGCAGAGAGGGAAGCAGAGGAAATCGAGCTGAATTTGGGCCTGTCACTCGGCGGCAGATTTGGGGTCGATAAGACTTCAAAGAAGATCACCCGATCGTCGTCTATAGCAGGTTCCATACCGTTCCTTCAGGAGCCGGACGCATTCAGCTCGCCCCCTGCGGCGACGTCGTACCCCTTGCTGATGAGGACGTCGTCTCTCCCAACAGAGACGGAGGAGGAGTGGAGGAAGAGGAAGGAAATGCAGAGCCTGAGAAGGATGGAAGCCAAGAGACGGCGGAGTGAAAAGCAGAGGAACTTGACTACAAATTTGAATTCGAATCCTAGTCTAAGAGGATTAGTAGGAGGAGGAAGTGGAGGGGAATTGGGTTTTTTGGAGGAAGAGAAGAAGGAATTGTTGGTGAATGTTAGTAGTAATGGCAATAGTAGGGGGAATTGGATGGCGAATTGGGGGAGTTCTAGGCAAGGGGGAGTGAATTTGAATAGAAGCAGCAGCAGCAATCATTTGCAAGTTGGGTCACAAGTTTCAGTGGAATCTCAGGGTGGGAATAGCTCTACCTCTGGGATGTCAGAAATGGAGAGTAAGCCTAATCTTCAAGGTGTGTTCTTTTCCTATTTTTGGGTTTGTTATAATTTCCAGTTACTTTGGTGGGGCTTTGGATCCTTTGAGCCTTCTATTTTGGGTTGCCATTGCCTGCATTATTTTGGCTTAGGGTTCGAATCTGTTGCTGTTGAGAAGTTAGGCCGGTAGGTGGGTTGGAAATTGGAAGTTTGTTAGATTGGTGGTTGTACTTAGAATTCTGGAGGAAGGGACATGATTTGGTACACTTAACCGATGCCGTTGAAAAGACAGGATTTGCTAGCTTCTGGTTTTGTTGCAAACTTCGTGTGGGGAATTGATGAGTGCTTATTTGTACTTGAAGCAACAAGCTTTTTCATCCAGGAGATGGATGGATAACAGTGGAAGTTTGAGCCTTTCGGTTTTCTTTCTTACATTACGTTAAGAAAGAGTCTGCCTGTGGGTTTTGGGGCTCAGTCTTTATACTAGGAACAAAGAAGAGAGGAGGAAGGGGTAGATCATTGTTTCACTGATGAGAGGAAAAACCAGTTGCGTCTGGTGCCGTGGAATGATAGTAGGAGTTGCGATGTGAAGGATCAAAAGGAATAAATTGATTTGTAGGGTTCTTAGTAGTGGTCTCTATTAGGTCTTTAATCTCTTTGTTTTCGATATGCTAAGCTTCCTTAACTGAATTGGTTCAAATTGGCTTAGAGAGGACATGACACAGCTTTCAAATCAACTGGAGGTGAAGAAGCCACAATTTTGGTGGCTCAAAGCTTGCTACTGTTTGTTAGTTAGTATTATATAGGTACTGCATGCTGTCACTTGTGCTTTACGTTAGTATCTGCGATTTCTGATTGTTCCATCTAGACTTTTCTTTGTTTCTTCTCTTCATCTTACGTTTGGTATGAATGTACGCTGGTATTGTTACTTCAACCATGGTGCTTTTATGGACAACCTGTCAGAATACACTCGAGACTAGAGGTGCCAAGGTACAAAAATGCTGCCTGCTAGTTGAGTTTTAGAAGAGTGTAATCATTCCCAACTAACTTGATATTGTGGCTGTTTGATGTTATGGAATTCAGACACCATGAATGAATTAACCATAGTTCATTGATGAAGAGGCATCTGCTCCACTTGAATAGAACTCATTTATCGTGTTTGTTGTCAGTTTGCGGATTATAGTTAGGTAATCGGTATTGCTTGGTGTATTCTGTTTCTCATGCTCAACTTTTTTACACCTATGGAAAATACACGAGGGCTGCCTAGCATCTGAAAAGATGGCTGAGGTGTTACTGAATGCTTGGGTTGCAGCACGTCTAATTAGGTATATAAGACAATACATGATCCCGGTGCGTTTGGTAAGTGAATCTAGAACTTGCTTTAGCAAAACAACTACATTTCTACTTTGAGTTGAAGTGGGAAAGATGCTGGTGCAACTTTGATGATCTACTAGATCAACCTGATTAGTCTTCTCTTAAGGTGCTCTTTGGCTTGGATGACCCAGTTCTCTTTGTGCTTTACCGGATCTATGATTCGATATGAATTATATGCTGAAAACAAAACCTTTTCTGGTCTGATATTTTTCTGTTTCTCATGCTTCTTCTTCTCTGTGGCATTGCAGGATCAGGCAGCGCGGGCAGCGAATCAAGAAGCCCAATGAGCAACCAATCCTTGCAAGACCAACGAAACCAGGCGGGGTGCTCTTCAGCCCCAAAGCTGACCACCCAAAAGTCGTCCAGAGCCGCTGTCGCAGATCACACCGAGAACAATCAAATGAGCCTCACTGCCTCTTCTGCAGGAGACAAGAGGGGGAGGGAAGCTGGGACGACGAGCGCCATGGAAGATATGCCTTGTGTATTCACGATAGGGGATGGACCTAACGGGAGACGAGTAGAAGGCATCCTCTACAAGTACGGTAGAGGAGAGGAGGTGAGGATAATGTGTGTTTGCCATGGCAGCTTCTTGTCACCTGCAGAGTTCGTGAAGCATGCCGGGGGCATCAATGTCGACCACCCTCTTAGGCATATAGTGGTTAACCCTGCAGGTCCGTCCTTTTGTTAAAATTAGTTCTCTTCTTGTTTTTGTTTCCACCATGAAATGAAAGAGCCCCCCTTTGATCTTGTAAACAAAGAAGATGGCGAGGGGGTTGTGTGTTGAAGTAAGAAACACTAACAATTTTTAGAGGATTAGAGGGGTTTACTTTTGTTATTTTCTTTCCTTTTTGCCCCCATTTTTAAAATTTTAGCTCTTAAAGGAGTGAACTTTTTGTTCATCGAGACCCTTGTAAATGTTTTAGTTTTGTTTTTCTAACCTTTAAGGAAATCAATTTCAGGAAGGTAGGATGAGCTTGTCCTGCGTTATCTTTGGTTGCTTTGCTCTTGAGTGGCTTAAGCTAACTAATTGAGTAATGTTCACTTCACTCGTCAATGGAACGATCTGTCAAAACTAGAACCTTATGATGGCATCTAAGCATTAATGAGCTGGAGATTTCGGATAGGCGGATAGCCTCTTTTTTCAATCTCACAAAGATTCCTTGACGAACTGGAACAAGATATGTTGTACCATACTTCCTGCCATCATGAGAGGGGATCTGGCGGTGTGTTTCTAGATAAATTATAGATGTAAATCCATTTGATTTACCATCTAAATTGCAAGTTTGGTCACTAGAATTGTTAAAAAAAGATGTGGTCACTAGAATTGTTAAAAAAATGTCACGTTTGCCACTAAAATTAATTTATTCCATTCATGATCACTTAAATTAGTTCCATAATCCAAGTTTGGTCACTTACCATTAGTCACCGTTAACACCGTCAGTTAAATGCTGACGTGGCTAATGAAAATATCTAATCATCCATTTATAACCCAAAAATATTCAAACCTGACCCGCCACCTCAGCAAACCTACCATATCATAAAACCAACTCAACCCACACTCAACCGCTGACTCGACTCATGTTCTTGACATCTTCCTCTCGTCGAGACTCGGCTCCCCACCCCAAACCCTCCTCGTCATCGGTGCCGCTTCTCTGAGATCGAACTACCCCCAACTCCAACAACCTCTGAAGATCCCAATCGCCAATGTCTGGTTTGAGTTCAGGGTTCGCGAGAAGCATCTGAACTTCGAGACACTTCCTCAGCAACATGTTCTTCATTTCTTCCGACGAGAAAGCAGAGTTTCTAGCAGAGTTGAAAAATCTGGGTTTGCAAAGGGACAACCCAGAAATTTCATCCCAAGCTCGCCCACGCAAGAACCTTCCCTCCTTCCTCATTAAGCATTGCAGTTTACTACATATCCCCCAAACTTCAATAACGTCACAATAACCAGATCTAACTATCTACACCAGAATCCAATAGTCAATCTCTGCGACTCAAAAGCCTCATCCTCAACCAATCTACCAACAAAAACATCAGAGAACCAAAATTAAACCCTACAGCCACATGGCCAGGAATCAATTCAACCACACAACATATACTAGATCGAACAGACGAGCGAGTAAGAAATTTGCGAATTGACAAAGAACAAGAAGGAAACCAGAAACTGACTGGTGAGATGGTGGCGTGGGTTCTGAAGAGCCTCGACGAGGAAGGAAACCACCAGGGACTCCTTGTTGTAGCCGATTTGAACGCATCCAGTCGAGCCTGAGCCTAGACGGTGACAACGACAGCGACGGAGGTAACGGTAGCATCCATATCTCGTATGACTGGCGGGGGTGAGAGATTTCTCCCAACCCCCCTCTTCTTCTGGTTCGATAGGTACATTTTGCCTCCTTTCTCGCCTTTGTCTAGAGGAAGAGGGGAAGGGAGAAGGGAAGGGAGAGGAGGAATCGCTAAGAATCAGCAAAATTCTTCTTCTCCATGGTTGCTGCAGCGGCGGCGGTTTCACAAATTTAGAAGATAGGTGGTGGTGGAGATGGAGAACATTAGGATTGGGAGATGGAGGAGAGGCTGAAATCTAGTGGAGCCGGCGGAGGCAGGGGAGTCTCCATTGCCGAAACTGGGTGGAGCCAGTGGGACAGGGGATCTCGGTGATGTTTTGGGCTGTGGATTTTTGCAGGGAGGAGGATGAGGAACAAGAGGATAGGAGTGGGGAGGATCGGCGGAGGATCGGAGAATAGGAGGCGGTGATGGAGGATCGAAGAAGAGAAGGGATTTGGGTCGCGTCAGTTTGGGTTTGTTTACAAGTTGGTTTTTGTGACGTGGCAGTTTTTTATGATGTGGAGGGTCTAATTTTTAATTATTTTGGGTTAAAAGTGGGTGATAGACATTTTCGTCAACCATATCAGCATTTAACTGACGGTGTTAACGGAGACTGACGGAGACTAACGGCCAGTGACTAAACTTGAACTACAAAACTAATTTAAGTGACCATGAATGGAATAAATAAATCTTAGTGGCAAACGTGATACTTTTTAGCAATTTCAATGACGAAACTTGAAATTTACCCCTTATAAATTAATAGTCAATCTCACGAGATTTCGTAGTGATTCGAACCTTTGCATGCCGGTACCAAAAACCGATGCCTTACCACTTGGCTATACTCCATATGGCCTGTTTTGGACGATAGAACAAAGAGCCAACAACTCACAGTGCTCAACCAAGCGTACAAAATTGCAGTAGAAAAAAAAAAAAAACTCTTTTTCAATAAAATCATCACGCAGTAAATCAACAAAGCCCAAAGTGATCTCTCTTTCCCCTTCGACGTTTACCTACTACGGTACCTGAGTGAATATGATCTCCACCAGACAGACGTAACGCTTTAGCTAAATTACAATATCAAGTCATTAATCAAGAGGGTTGTTATTTTTCGCCCATTTAATTACTATTTGCCCTCCACAATTACAAACCAATTGCCAAATTTGCCCCTCTCCACACATTTTCGTCCGGACCAGGAACAAAAAAGATGGCCAGAAAACTTGAGGAAAGGCTCCGACTGAAGGGTAGGTTTGTGCCGGAGTTGGGGAGGGTGGCAGGAATTGTACATCACAGTCCTTGTCTTGTTCGTTGAACTCAGGCTCAACACAGACGCCAGCAGGATCTGATCCGCCGCCGAATTTCGGGGCGGCAATGGGGGCCTGAACCCACCAGCCACTACGCCACGATATCTACCGCCATCGCTTCTTCCACGAGTCTGGGCTGGCTCGGATGGTGATGAGCGGACTGAGGCCGGAGTTCGGAAATTGAGGCTCGGTCCGACACTGACGTTCGAAAGTTGAGGCTCGGTCCGACGCCGACGATCGAACGGTGAAGGATAATCGAAAATTATTTAATAAATATTTATATTCATAATTAAATATAATGTAAACTAATTAATTGGGGAGAGAGTTATTGATATTATTAACTCTTTTTGTTTCCGCTCTGTTTCTCAGTAGCAAGTGTTTTGAGAAAACTAGTTGTGGGCCCGGCCAATTGGCCGGAAATACCCGTTTTTTTATAGTATGTATAAGAAAATTTAAGTTATTCAAACACTCTAAACATCAAATTGATTGGTAGCATATGAGAATTCAAATTATTACAATACTTCGATCATTCAAAATGATAACATCATAGTCTGTTCGGACATTCTAACTTATTCATCGACTAAAATCCTTGTACGAAAAATTAAAAACAAACCTAATGCAAGGGAACCAACTCCTAAATAATTTTGAATAACTTTTCTATTTACTTCTCATCATCAAAGATTACCTTACTTTTCGACTTGTTTGCATTTTCTCCGCCATTTCCACCAATCACGGGTTAATCTCAATTAGTGACACATTCATCTTCATTGCCAATCATCACTTCCTTCTTCTCAATTTTTTTTAAAATACTTCCTCTTTTTTATTGTTAGAGGCACTATGAATTGGAATGTGGAATCAAGAATGGGAAATTATACCTCCAACTATTAGCAAAGCTGCAATACCAAAAGAAGCAATACACAACCGTATTTTCATTTCTGCTAGTAGCTTCAAACAAATAACCTTGCAAAGAAATGTGTTCCTTGTACCTCCAAATCCATCAACAAAGAAGTAGTTTCAATTTTCTTCCTCCACAACTTGAGTACATTCTTCCGTTGCGATGAAAATTTATATCCCTTCATTAAATCTTCTAGATTAAAATTTAATCCCTCAACTGATACGAGCATGGATTGCCTCTTAATCAAGTTAGAAATACTTGCCAACGAAGCCAACCCAAATCAACATTCAAATATGGATTTTTGGCTAAGGCATGGTACCGTTGTTGGTAGCCTAATTTTTAAGGCTCTTCTTCTCAAGTGGCTCGTTGAAAATGAAAGTACAAGGCCTCATCTTGGATTACAATTTACAAGTGTTGCTGGACACGATGGTGTGCTTGGCAGCTCGAGGGGAAGCCTGGAATCACAGTTTCAGGCCTCGACAAGATGGTAGCTCAATGCTGCGAAAATGGCAGGAATTGCCCAAGTGTCAAGCTGTGAGCAGCATAGCTACTTTGAAGGCTCACTCCGGGAAGATGGTGCTGAATCAAGAGAAAAGCTTCAGGCCACATGAAACTACCTATTTCCTAGTACAGAAACAATGAGTTGGGTGATCGATTTCATACCCAGAAGACCTCGAACGAGGACGCTGAAGATGGTATCAAGGCTGCTTGTTTTCTTGCGTTTTAAGTTTCCATGTTGTGCTAGTATTAGGACTGTTTTGGGGTTTCCTTGTTTCTCTCGACTTTCCTTGTTGTTTTAGGTTCATTGTTAGTTCTATTTAAACTCAAAAGGGGACTTGTAAATTGTAGTGGAGCAGATGAATGAATTGAAGATTAACCCTAAAAACTAAGTTTCAACAGCTTGTTTTTGGTTGAGAGCTTGGCCGAGACAACCAAGCTCGATTGAAGCCCTTGTATCGATAAAAAACCACATTGATCGTGGGCGGGAATTGACGTATAGTTGCTGAGCCTTCCTCCAGGTGAAGGATTGCACACAACTCCAACCCAACCCTGTTCCTCCTCATCGGCAGAACACCAAATCCAGTTTCCGACGCGCTCAACTCAAGGGAAGAGCTTGACTCGTAGCTCTGGTTTTCGAAAATCAAATTAAAACCTACTGGGGGGGGTTTA